GAGACTCATCCACAACCTTCAGCTGGGCATCCAACCAACCTGAGTGAGCTGGCCAAATCCTTGGGGCCAGGAGGATTCCTTAATGGGGTCATTAGGAAATGTCTCAATGGGACTTCGGTCTCCATGCCGAAATACCTGAAAAGACATGTGAGACAGTAGTTTTACAAACTTCACTTGGGTATTTTGCTTCTGTTTGTCATAATAGTTTCTTCTAAACCTCAGGTTCTCAACCTTGGAGGCCCACTGGAATTGGGCCTGGGAAGTTCTAGAAAATTCTGAGGACTAATTAAACCAAAAGTATCTCTAGTGATTTTGGTTTAATTAGTCTGGAGTTTTAGCCAGGGCTTCAGATTTTTTTTTTTTTAAAAGATCTTTCCAAGTAAACCTCAGGTTAAGAATCACTATTCAAAGTTCACTAAGACTTTTCCTAAGTTGAAGATAATGTTAGAATCAGGAATATTAGCCACTGGGAGGTGGATGATACATGCATGGAGATAGTCCTTTCTATATGTCAGATAGAAACACAAAGCTCACAGAACCACTTTATTGCAGTCAGACACCAGTGAGAAATTCTTCCCTTAATTATGATTACTGAAATGATGGTGTTAAAATTTTACATTTAATAGAAATACTGATTTTAAGCAACACATTTCATTTTTTTGTGAAAATTTTGAGTCAATGATTTATTAGCTTTAGGAGGTTAAGGATAAAGGAATTACAGATAGGGAGATTTGGAAAGCTGATTCTCAATACTCTATAATAATGGACTTCTGGATTTGTGTGCACATCCTACAGTTTTCACTGAACATTTCTTTTCGGAAAGAGTGTGGACTTTTGGAACCTGGGCACTTTGATTATAATATGCTTTCAGAATAGCATATCCCACCAAAACTAAAACTATTTGATAAGTAAAAAGTAAAAAAAGAAAAAGAAAAATACTCAAGAAGTATAAGACAAAGTCTACACTGATGTCAGCAAATATTTTTAATATAGAGGAAGCTGCGTCTGCATAATGCTGTGCTTTATCTGAGATCACCTGTACTTGTTGCTTATACTACCTGGCTAGGATGTTCCATTGAAGAGTAAGCCAAGAGGTTGCTCTTTTGAAACCTTGTAAAACAGTTCAATAGACACAGAATAAGCAGCACTCTCAAACTTTAGTTATCTTTGAGAAGGAATTCCAAGACAGGGCAGGGGGCTTCTTTGAAGACCTGGATTGTATTTTGGTATTGAAAAAAGCCATTGGCCCACTAAACCAGTGAGAATTGAAAACCTCTACGGAACAGGCTACAGGAAACAAAAGAACAGCTGTGTAGTGGATTGTAACAAACTGTTTGGGTCAGGTAAGGAAATAAGGTCATGAATGATCGGTCACCTTCCAGCAGGAGGAAAAGCTGCATTTTGTCTTGTGAGCACCTACTGCTACTTACTGGTTTCCAGGGGTGACTCAATCACCATCAGGAACTACCAAAGCTAACTATTAGTGCTTCTCTTTTAACAATCCAAACACATCTTAGACTTTTTAGATCCCAAATAATTGGCCAGCATACATTCTCAGATCTGGGTAATTAAAGTTGTCATATGGCGTCAATAGATTCTTAGCTGTGTATTGGGCGTTTCCCAGGGTTTCTCAACCTCAGTGCTGTTGATGTTTTAGGCTGGGTAATTCTCTGCTGTGGGGCTGTCTTGCATATTGTAGGAGGTTTAGCAGAATGTGACCTCTGTCCACCAGATAAAAGCAATGTTCCTCTACTGTGACAATCTGAAAACCGAGATCACCCCCAGCTGAGAGCCCGAGTCAGCTAAGGAGAAGTCAGATGAGACAGCTTGTACTGAAATGATTCAATGCAATTCAGTAACACAACAGCAGCTCCTCACCCTTTCACTTGCTTTGTCCCGGAAACATGCCAGGTGCTTCCCCTACATTTAAGCCTCCCATCAATTCTATGAAGCAGTTATTATTATTTTTATTATTTCCATTTCATATATGAGGAAGTTGGCTTTAAGTAAGGGAGCTGCCCAAGCTTGCTCAGCACGTAAGCGGTAGTGCTCATCAGACGCAGGCCGTGTGTCCTCCACACCACAAGCTTCCCCACTGCTGAGGGAGGATCACTGCTCCAGGTTCGCTCCTCAGACTTCCCACAGATAATCAGGATGATCTGGGACTTGGAGAATTTTTTATAGACTCTATTAAATGTACGTTTTTCCTCTAAGACTGGGATGTATACATGTGCATGAGTGTGTGTGTGTGTGTGTGTGTGTTGCGTCAGAAACAAAACAAATCCAAAAGAAACACTCCCAAAGGCACCATGAATTATGTGCATGACTTTAAGAATGAAACCGAGAGTTGGGCACGGTGGCATATGAGTGTCATCCCCACGGCTTGGGAGGCTGAGGCAGGAGGATCATAAATTCAAAGCCAGCCTCAGCAACTTAGCAAGGCGCTAAGCGACTTAGTGAGATTGTACCTTAAAATGAACTAAAAGGAATGGGGATGTGGCTCAGTGGTTAAGCACCCCTGGATTCAAATCCCAGTAATCAAACAAAAAAATTTTTTTTTCTTGGAAACTTAAAAAAGGGCTAGGGGTATATAGCTCAGTGGAAGAGTGCTTGCCTAGCCAGCACCACAATAAATATATAAATCCATCTGAGGTTATGCATCCAAATGGCAGAATGACCTGAGACAAAAAAAAAAAAAGTGTGGTTGTCAGAGCAGGGTGTGTGTTGAAGAGCAGAGCACTAGAACGTAATCACGAGACTTGAGCAAGCTTCCTCACTCTGAACTATGTTCAGAAACAAGGGCACTGCCCTCTGATTCAGTGAGATTTGAGAGTTACTGAGGTAGTGGCTCAAATGTGCTGTGAACTCTTTGCAGGGGAATTCCTATAGAAATGCCTACTAAACCAACCCCCTCCTCTGGGATGGGAATCAAAAAGCCTGTGTATGTGTGTGTGTGAGAGAGTGTGTGTGCCTGTGTAAAGGCTTCCATGTGTGCAGATGGTGTTCCTTGAGCTTCTGAAGTTCCACAAGCCAACTGGAGTCCTTGAACCCAGGGGCATTTAACCACTGAGCCTCATCCCAAGCTCTTTTTATTTATTTATTTTTTATTTTGAGACAGGGTCTTGCTAAGTTGGCTAGAGCCTCACTAAATTTCTGAGGCTGGCCTTGAACTTGTGATCCTCTTGCCTCAGCCTCCCAAGCCACTGGGATTACAAGTATGTGCCACCACACCTGGCCATCTAGGCC